TTCTAAAACTTAAAAAAAATATGTATAGAATCAATTCCTTTAAAAGTGATCTTAACCTTGGCATAAGACAGCTTATAACCAGTTCCAAAAGTTGATTTCAAGGATCATTGCTCCTTATGTTCTAGACACTCCTTTGTATGTTTTACAGTAGAGTATTTTAACAGAATCATTATCCCTTATTATTTTACTTCTTAATGTTTAAAATATATTAGCATTCAATAACTGCATTACTCCAAGTATACAAAGACTGCATATCTCTTTGTATAGAACATATGGAAATGTTAAGCACAATTGCTTTTGAAAAAATACCATAGACTACCAATTCTACTGTTTCTACATTCCTTGGGTAGTCAGTATTAGGATTAAATTGAGTTAATGGACCTTGACTAGTTGGACCATTATAGGCAGGAAAGGGCTCTTATCATCGACCAGGCCAGGCTATAGAAAGTGAAAATAAATGATCTTGGCAAGTAAAGAAGTTACTGATTTAACACCTTTAGGTCTCTAAAAACCAAAAATGCTTTTTGTAAGTTTTGTTGAAGAACACTGCTGGATAAAATTTTAAATTTTCTTACGAGTCTCACTAATCTTTGCAATTGCCATTTCTATTTCTGACACATGTAATTGTTTAGTATAACCCATTATGACACATGAGAACAAAATATTAGTAACTGAGTAGGAAGGAGTCATGCATGTGGATAAAGGCAATGACAGAATAGGAACTGAGAATCATAAACAGATCTGAACTATATGATGCTTGCCGTTCTCTAATAATATGTGTGATGTTGAAAAGGGGCTCAGAATAGTAATCAGTGCACCAGCTTAAACACAATGAAAGAAAAATGAATCTTCCAATTTACCATCTTACACTAACTTATCAAAAACCGAGGGGCCCTAGGCAAACTCTCAAATGTTACTGGAACTGAGTATAATGAACAATATGTCTTGTGATATAAAATAAGGACTAGTAGAGTCTATGCTAATGGAGCAAAATTCTCAATTAAAAGCTCCTTATTCCTGTGAGCTGTTAAAAGGGCACACAAACTTTGATTGCTTGAAGATCCTTACGAAATATAAACGTGTTATGGATCGAATGTTATGACTTGCTATTTTCACCTGTGATGAGTGAGGGAGCTAAGTTGTTGGTGGCAAATCTTTTTTTTTATTTATTGTTATAAGCAAATTTATCCATACGCAAAAAGAAAGATATTTGTATGAAGTGGTTTATTTAACAAACATTTACTGAACACAGCTGTAAGTACCAAGTTCTGTGAAGAAAGTCAGACATCTAGAAACAGTAATTCTTGTCATTAGTAAAAGCTCCTAAGTTAACCAGAATAATTATGGGGTTTTATAAAGTCATATTTCTCAACAATTAGTGAATTGCTTCCAAAATATATATTTTGTAAAATTTAAATGTCTCTGAACTTCCTATTTGTGTTGATTTTTTAATGTTCTTTTTGTATTTCATGAATAATTTCAGAACTTAGGGAAGATCTTATTTTCTGTTTCATCATATAACACTTATGCAGTAAACTGAGTTTAAATAAAATAATTTTAATGCTACTTTTTTCTTTTGCTGCCCAGCTCTGCTGCTCAGTGTGTGTGTACATAACATTCATACTGTGCCAATGTTTTCAGGCTCTGTCGCAAAAAATCTATTATTTCATAACATCTCAAATTAATACCAAAATAGAGAAAAAACCCTTAAAATACTTGAATATTTGCAGCATATATTTTAACTTGATATCTTCAAGTACACTTTAGAGTTTTCTCACAAATTTAATAGTATAATCAAATTGGTGATATAAATCAGGGGTAGAATCTTGGACTACATAATATAATCCTATCAGTCCTCTATAGAATGAGCAATGAAAATCCTCTCAAATCAGAACATCCATCCTTGTCAATCCATCAATTCTTCTGTGAAAGTGAATGAATTAATAACTATTATCTCAACTCTGGTCAGTTCATGTCACAAGTGTTGTTTCCTCACCTTTAAAAGAACTTAAAATTATATTACCCCTGTAATTATCTTAATGAGACCTGCATTAAGATATGAGAGTCATTTCTAATGGAAGACATAAGCTTTCTGAAGCAGTATCAGGTTTCCCCTACAACTATGACAGTTTTTTGCACCTATTATTCAACTTTTACAGGATATTTTACTTCTTCATCTCAATGCAATGTCATTGTGGTAGTAAGAGATTATTGAATCCATTACAAATCATTAAGACCTTAAGCACAAGAGTAATAATTTCACTGAAGCAGTGTATCCTATGTGATTGCTTTTGTATTTTTATGATGTTGGTACAAAGCTATAGAAAATGAAATACCAAATCACAGTTCTACTATCAGTTCAGATTTCCAAAATTCCCATCCACCCATTTTGTTTGTCTATTTGCTCTTAAATCGTTTTTGGTTTTGTTTTCAAATCCATTTTGGGGTTGCCATTTGTAATTTGGGAAGCATTTACACATTTTTCTCTCACATGGGTGTACATGCTAAGATTATAATATTCCAAAAGATCGATTTGCCCTCACACAGAAAGTTTCTTATGCAAATTCAGTATAGATTACAACTCAATGTAAGAAGATGAAAATCCTCACAGCTGTTACCAATAGGTAGCGTTATGATAAACAGAGAAAATATTAAAGTTGTTAAAGATTTTTGTCTTGCTTGGAAACACAATCAATGTTCATGAAAACAGCATTCAACTGATCAAAAGACCCATTGTGTTGGGTAAACCTGCTGAACAAGATCTCTTTAGAGCAGTAGTACTCAACCTTCCTAATGCCGCGACCCTTTAACACAGTTCCTCTTGTTGTGGTGACCACTCAACCATAAAATTATTTTCATTGGTACCTTATAACTGTAATTTTGTGACTGTTGTGAAGCGGGTGACCCCTGTGAAAGGGTCATTCGACCCCCCATAGGGGTTGCTAGCTACATGTTGAGAACCACTGCTTTAGAGTACTGAAAAGCAGGGATGCTACTTTGAGGATTCAGGTGTGCCTATCCCAAACCATGCTATTTTCATTTGCCTCACATGCATGTGAGAGTCAGGCACCGAATAAGGAAGACTGAAAAGAATGGATGCTTTTGAATTGTGGGGCTACCTATTGATATTGAAAGTATCACGGGTACTGTTAAAAGGACAAACAAACGGTTTGGGAAGAAGTACAGCCACAGAGATCCTTAAAGGAAAGCATGGCAAGACTCCATCTCATGTACTTTGGACATGTTGTCAGGAGAGACCAGTCCCTTTAGATAAGAAGGACTTCATGCTCAGCAAAGTAGAGGAGCAGCGAAAAAGAGGAAGGCCCTCAGCAAGATGGATTGACTTGGCACAGTGGCTGCAACGCTGAGGCCAATGTAAGCGCAGTTGTGAGGATGGTGCAGGACTGGGCAGTATTTCATTCTGCTGTGCCTGGAGTGGCTCTGGGTCAAATCCACCAGCAACAACATACAACTTAGAATAGGTCTAACCCCGGTGGTATAGCCCTGTCAGTGATGTGCTAGCACCTTTGTGGGAAGGAGGATCAGGATCAGCATTGTTTGTCCTTAAGAATAGACTGTTGAAAAATAAGACCATTTCTCATGAAGCATAGGTCTTTTATGGTGAATAATAGGAAGCAGAGCGTTAAATAGAGTGTTCACTGTGCAAACAAGAACACATGTCCTGGTTATTACTGGGGTTCCTGTTGCCATAGCTTCCACACTCTTCCAGAGAAGCCAGCAATTCATGGTCTTAAGTAAAATTTTTAAATTGTGTCAACTCATTCAAATGACTTTCTCGTCCTGGGAAGCAATCTCACACATCAGTAGAGGCTTGCCAGTTTGGAACCTGCTCTGAACTAGCTGCTTTGTCCCTTTAAATTAGGAAGAGAAAAACAAACTTCCAAATCTATTGATTCTGGGATTGAGTATAGACTAGACCGAAAGTCAGAGTCCTCTAGGAAGCTGACTTGCACACAAAGCTGATTTTACCCTCTACTGCATCTCTTGCCTCATTTGCTTCTCTAATTAGTGCTCTGTTTCTCCTGCGTAGATTCCCTGTGTTTTATATTTCTTTTTATATTATTATTTCTTAAATATATATACTTTAAGATATAGGTAAATACATATATCATCTATCTATCAACACCCTTTTATTTTTTTACTATTATTCTCTGTATCTGGCAATATTCTTTAGGCTTGAGTATATAAAACAATTGTCAAGAGGAAAAAAGAACAAGGATAACAAGTTATTCTCATCTATTTTGTCATCTACATGGTATACCTCTAACATATTTATCATCTACTTGAGCCCTGTGAGGGAGATAGTATCCCGGATTTACAGAAGTGGAAACTGAATTGTAAGGGAAGGGAATCCTCTCAATGGAGCCTTTCGGAGATTAATTGACTGAAAAGAGACAAGGACCGACACCTCTAGCTCAAAATGCAATGCCCTTTGTTGTTGTTTCTCCAGGATGAACAGGGAGACAGGGAGGGAGGCAGAGTGGGGCAATGAGTTACAGTTTTCAACGGGTGGCCTTGTCGAGAGTCATCTTCCTTGTCTTTCAAACTTCTAAACAGTTATCATATTTTCTGTACCCATGCAAGCTTATTCCATTATTGTATAATTGACTCCAAATATATTAAAAATAAATAAGAGTGAGATGGTTGACATCTGTGATTATTTGGAACAAAAACTGGTCTGGTGGTTTTCAACCATCAAAAACAATTACATTATCTCCTTGGCAAGGCAGAGAAAAGTTTATTAAATTATGGATTCAAAATGAGTTGCAATTGCTCCCAATCGGACCTAATGCCAATATTTAGAAGAAATAAATTGCCATCCTCTAAATGATGTAGGCAGTCCTAGACCTAATCTCATGGTAATAAACTTTACAAACACACACACACACACACACACACACACACATTGCTTTGACTTCTAAATAATAAGAAATAACTGAAATCAATATTCATTAATTCTGAAAAGACAATATATTTACCCAAATCTTGGGTCCAAAGCAATGGCTCTGGGGTGTTCCATGGCTCCAGCTATTAATGTCGTTCTTAGAGAACCATCTAATTTGGCCACTTCAATTTGATCCAGGTTGCTGTCTATCCAATATACGTTGTCTGCAATCCAATCCACTGTCAGACCTTCTGGGGTAGCCAGTCCATGCTCCACAACCACTTCAATTGCACTGACACCTGCCATAAAAAGAGGAAACCAACACTGAGATCCCTTTCAGGAACACAGACAGCATGCCCTACTGTCCACAGTACACATGCCTAAACATGTCGCCTTTGAGAGACGCTGTGGAAAAGTGCCACTTGACAGAGAGTAAGAAGGTCCCAAATAAAAAATTGCTGATTTTTTCTAATAGATATTTTAATTCATTTAAATACATTTAAATACTTAAACAACTGTGAAATTAATAACAATGCTGAAATTTATTTTTTAAAATCTATTTCTTGTGTCTGACATTTTAGACAGACTAAGGAATTTGGGGAAAAATGATTTTTTTCCTTCAAATGTAATTCAAATGCTGATTATCAAAAAAATAAGAAAGTGAAGAGAAAAAGATCATCTGGGAACTCGTGCATTATTGTTAATCAGCATCCACTTTTCCCCACGTAGGACAGGTAAAAGAGCTGTCCTCTAAATCACAACTTTATCCCCCTTAGCTAAGAAAACTTTAGGAAATTTCACAAGATGCAAACAAGATAAGAAAATAATAGTGGACTAAAAAAGATGAACAATACAATATTGTCCATTGTCACTAATATTTAATTCATTTATTGATTTATTTCAGTATTAAAAAACCTTATTTAACAAATTTTTCTAACAATATAACTCAAATAGTTTATGACATTCCTGGTGATTTCTGTGAGATTTCCAATAAACTAGCTGACACCTGGTGTGAATGCATTATTTTAAATCAGTAACTTGCAATATGACATTGGATATAAATCCACAAATAAAACTTATATTGTGTGTTTAATTAAGTCCATTTTTCAAAATATTGATAAAGTCATTTGCAGAGGAATCAAATTTCTGACAGATATTCCTTGCTCTTTTAATTA